TGTTACATGGATTAAACAAAAATATGCAGTGAAATCTGCTAATATAAAAATAATGGTTTGCCCTAACCGGTTTGGCTCAGTGGATAGAGAGTCGGCTTGTGGACTGAAGAGCCCCAGGTTCGATTCCGGTCAAGGGCATGTACCTTGGTTGTGGGCACACCCCCAGTAGGGTTGCGCAGGAGGCAGCTGATCAATGTTTCTAAGTCTCTATCCCTCTCCCTTCCTCTCTGTAAAAAATCAATAAAAATATATTTTTAAAAAAAATTAAAAAACATATATTGGGGTGAAAAATAAAGTACCATGCACAGAGAGGGACTGTGACTTGCCTAGAGTTGCACAGCATGTGGCAAAGGCAGAGCCGGGGTAGGTGTGTTGGGCACAGGGCCCTGCAGAACCATGACCCTCCTGCCTCCACTCCCCCCAAAGTGGGACCTCCCCGGGACATAGGAGCTGAGCCCCAGCCTGCCAAGAACCCCTCCAACACGGTCAGCATATCCCCACCACCACCCCCGACCCCCCACCGCGGGGTGACAGGCTCTCACCTTTCTTTGTGGTTCTCTGGAAGATGTGTGCGTTCTCCCCCGTGGTGAAGAATTTAAAGTAGGTGCAGTTGGTTTCTGTGGGAGCAAGGGAGAGAGAGAAATAAGGGAGGTGCTGCCAGGGGGGACCCTAGTGTAAGTTCAGGACTGGATAGTAAACCTAGCTCACAGTAGCCTGAGAATATGACCTGAGCATCCCCGATAAAAATAGGACAGAAGAGCCCTGGCCGGTGTGGCTCAGTGGATAGAGTGTCGACCTGCGGACTGAAGGGTCCCGGGTTCGATTCTGGTCAAGGGCACATGCCTGGGTTGCAGGCTCCATTCCCAGTGGGGGTGGTTGTGTGCAGGGAGCAGCCAATCAGTGATTCTCTCTCATCATCGATATTTCGATCTCTCCCTCTCCCTTCCTCTCTGAAGTCAATAAATATATATTTAAAACAAACACAAAAAAAACCCGCAAAAACACTAGATCCTAAGGTCCCCAAGACAGCCCACGTGGATGTTTCTGGTCTGTGGCGTCTGGGTTCGATTCCGGTCAAGGGCAGGTGCCCGGGTTGTGGGCTCCATCCCCAGGAGGGGGCGTGCAGGAGGCAGCCGATCAATGATTCTCATCACTGATGTTTCTATCTCCCTCTCCCTTTCCTTTCCTCTCTGAAATGAATAAAAATATATATTAAAAAAATATGACAGAAGAGAAAAATGATGCCCAGTAAAAGCCACCTGTTGTCACACAGCTTATCCAGAGCTGGGATTCCAATGAGGAGCTTTTTAAAAATTGATTTTAAGGAGGGGGTGGGGAAGAGAGAGAGAAACATCGATATGTTGTTCCACTTATTTATGTGTTCATTGCTTGATTCTTGTATGTGTCCTGACAGGGGATCGAACCCACACCCTTGGTGTATTGGGACAATGCTCAACCAACTGAGCCACCCAGCCAGCATAGCTTTTTTTTTTTAATTGATTTTTTACAGAGAGGAAGGGAGAGAGATAGAGAGTTAGAAACATGGACCTACTGGGGATGTGCCTGTAAACAAGGTACATGCCCTTGACCGGAATCGAACCTGGGACCCTTCAGTCCGCAGGCCGACGCTCTATCCACTGAGCCAAACCGGTCAGGGCTCGGCCAGCATAGCTTTTATGTGAATGGGAAACCAGCACAGTGCGTGACTGGCTCTACTGCGGTGTTCGGGCACCGAACCTGTGTTCTCTTCGAGGTGCGCCTGTGCCAGTCTTTCTGGAAGGCAGACTCTGACAGACTTTATGGAATGAAGGACAGTTACGCCCTATCACCACCTGTTTTCCTTCTGGGGATACATACAGACAAAAACCATATGCAGGGACGTGTATGTTTACAATCACAGGGCGTCCGAAGACTAACAGAAAGCAGCCTACAGCCCTGACCGGTGTGGCTCAGTGGATAGAGCGTCGGCCTGCGGACTGAAGGGTCCCAGGTTCGATTCCGGTCAACAGGGCATGTACCTGGGTTGTGGGCACATCCCCAGTAGGGGGTGTGCAGGAGGCAGCTGATCGATGTTTCTTTCTCATCGATGTTTCTGACTCTATCCCTATCCCTTCCGCTCTGTAAAAAATCAATAAAATATATAAAAAATATTTTTTTTTTAAAAGAAGAAGAAGAAAAAGGAAAGCAACCTACAGAGATCTGAGAAATAAAAATGAAAAACAGGACCCTGGCCAGCTAGCTCAGTTGGTCAGAGCACCGTCCTGATTCACCAAGGTTGCAGGTTTGATTCTAGGTCAAGGGACACACACGAATCAACCCATGAATGCATCAATAAGTGGAACAACAAATCTCTCTCTTTCCTTTCTCTCTCTCAAAATCAATCAATATATATTTTTTAAGAAAACACATT